CCCAAGGAGCCCGAGCTGAAGGCCCTGCACATCCCCATCAACCACTCCACTGCTCCGGGGTTCGGCCACCTTAAAGACCCTGAAGGTGAACCAGGCCCAAGGGTGGGGTGTCTGGGCTTTAGGTGTACCTGAAGGGGTGGGGCCTGAAGATGCAGAGGTCTAGAGGCTGAGGGCATGGAGGCTGCAGATCTCTAAGGCCGTGGGGGCGGGGCCCATTAGGAGGGGATCAGGGAGATACAGTACGGACTGGGCCTCAGAGGAGGCTGGGTTGATATATAGAAGTGGGGCCTGTAGGAACCTTCCAGGGCAGGGTTGAAAGATAGGAATGGGGTGGTTCCTGAAGACACTAGTGGCTGTGGGAACCACAGCAGCTTTTGGGGGAGGAGGTGGAACCTGAGGATTCCTGGAAGGCAAAGGCCCCCAAGAGCTAATGGGACGTGTTTGATATGATCAGAGTGGGATCTGGAATACAGGGGGGGAAGGAGTTGACCTGGAGCCAAGGAAGGGTGGGGCCTAGGTATACAGAAGGGGCAGGAACAAAGGAAGTGGCCCAGAAACACAAGGGTTGCAGTCTGGGATACCCTGGGTCTGACTGTGGAACTGGGAGTTCGAGGCTGGGGCCTTACTGAGGCCCTGAGAGCTGTGTGCACAGTGCCTGCCACCATCATCCTGCTCTCCCCGGGGTCTTCACTGGGCTGGCTGGGCTCTGCCTGGCAATGAGTAGATCAAGCAGGAAGTGCTGCAGTTCTACCACTGAGATCACCAGGTCCCTGTTGAAGCCTTGGGAGGCCCTGGGACTCAGCAGTTGCACCTCAGGGAGCGCACAACGTTGTATAAGAGAGGGCATTCCTACCTCTGCCATGGCTTGCACAAAAGGGCCAGCTTTTATGTCTCCCATGAAGCCATTTGCACAGGAGCACTTGCACCCCAGTGGAGATGTCTGCATCACCCATGCAGGGCTTTACATGGAAGAGACAGCTTTTGGAGCCGATGTCCATTCAGAAAAACCTTTCCCATAACCCCCTGGCCCAAAATGAAAACTCATTTCTGATTGTTTTGTGGTTCCCCTTAAAAAAACAATGCTGACAGCACTGAGCATCGCAGAGCAGAAGTATCTGTGGTGCATTAGAGGAGACTGAGGCAGGGCACCTTCTTCAAGGAAGCCGGGTCTCCCTGACCCTTACTTCTTCCCAGGTCCATGGTGATGCCATATTGGAGGGGGATTAGTTTCACACCAATGGGGTGACTGGTATCCAGAACACCAGAGTTCACTGTGAGGTCGGATTTCCCAGACTTGGAAATGGGGGTCTGGGAGGGAGGAGTCAGAAACCCCCCTCCCCCACCAGAAATCCTTGCTTCCTCACTTTTACCCAAGCCTAATCCTCTGTGTAAGTATGATTCATCACTTGGCTCCCACACGTGCTTATTCATGTACCTAACATCTTCATTCATCCCCCCTCCCGCTCATTCATTCTACAGACATTCACTAAGGCCCATTCTCTGTGCGACTCCAAATTCTAGAGCTTCTGTGTCCCTAAAGAGGCTGTGCCTACTGTCTCTCAAGAGGGGCTCCCATAGGTAGCTCAATGAGTACATACACAGGCATTTCAAAACTGGTTTTAAATACTCATCAGGGCGAACAGGAAGGGTCTGGGGTAAGAGCTTGTTACATTTGAGTATGGGGTGGGGCTGGGGTGCCCTGAGAGAAGGGCTGGGGTGCCTGGGACAAGGGAACAGAGAGTAGAGGCCCTCTCTGGAGAGTCCCAGGGCCAACTGGGAGCCAGCCCTCCCTTCGAGGTAGATCATCGGGGAGGGAACCAAAGAGGAACTCCCACGATGGTGGTGACAGGCGGTCACTTCCTCAGTGGTAGCTGGGATAGCCCGAGGCCGGGGTCCCTTCCTTAGAGGGCAGCTGGTTGGGATCCTCCAGGAACGGGGGTGCTGGAGAGGGGAAAATCCAGTAAAGGTGAACAGAGGAGGCTAGGCAGAGCATTACCCACCTCTGCCTGACCAGCTCCACCAGGCACTCACCGTTGCGGAACTGCTGGGCAGTGTAGCGAGTGAGGAGGATGCCAACACCCTCGATGAGGGCCAACAGGATGCCCCCCATCATGGCTGAGCCCATCATGGCCAATGGGCCACCTGGAGGAGCAAGGAAGAAGGAAGAGAGGTGAGTACTGGCAGAACAGGGTGGAAGGGACTGGAGCCAGGGCTAGGGCTGGGGCTGGGGCCGGGGCCAGGGCTGGGGGCACTCACTGCGGGCAGCCAGCACAGCCCCAGTCAACGCTCCACTGGTGATGGAATTCCAGGGATCCTCCTTGCCCCGCACACGCACCAGGCCACAGTCGATGGTGGAGAACAGGCCCCCCCACACTGCGAAGCTACCTGCAAGGGGACAGAGGCCCAATTAGTGTTCCTGGGGAAGCCCAAGAATCCACGGCTCAAGGACTGGGGACTTCCAAGGCTGAATGCTCTGGCAAAGAAGGGGAGACAAACCCAGATGCAAAGACAGATAGCAAACTCCTAGAGCAGTGGTTCTCAACCTTGGCTGCACATTAGAATCACCTGGGATCTTTTTTTTTTTAAAATATATTTTATTGATTTTTTTACAGAGAGGAAGTGAGAGGAATAGAGAGTTAGAAACATCGATGAGAGAGAAACATCGATCAGCTGCCTCCTGCACACTCCCTACTGGGGATGTGCCCGAAACCAAGGTACATGCCCTTGATCTGAATCGAACCTGGGACCCTTCAGTCCGCAGGCCGACGCTCTATCCACTGAGCCAAACCGGTTAGGGCTGGGATCTTTTTAAAATCCTGATTTCTGGGCCTCATCCTCCGGAAATTCTGTTTCTTTGTTACTAATGTTGTGGCCCCACCCCATAACAAAGAAACAGAATTTCCGGAGGATGAGGCCCAGAAATCAGGATTTTAAAAAGATTCCCAGGTGATTCTAATGTGCAGTCAAGGTTGAGAACCACTGGCCTAGACTAGAGGATAGTCTCCACATCTGTCCTTGTGGTAGCTACACCTTCCAGCTGTCTCTAATTGTAATCGACACTCCTTTCTCCTTCATAGGGAGGTGACAAGTTTATAAGCTCATTTACCTTCTATGTGGCTTTAAACGGAGCAACTTTGATCTCCATAAACCACCACATAGAATTGGAATTCTGCTCTTGGTTTTAGTGAGAAGGAAACAGGTTAGGAGAGCCAGTTAACCATATGGTAGTTAAAATGTTTACTGGGGCCTTATTGTGTCCCGGGATCTGATGTAGGTACTGTGGGTTATTTGACTTCTAACATTTTAAATTAGTTAATATTATTGAAGTGCTTAGCAGAGCAACTGGCCCTTAGTAAATGCTATGTAAATTACATAAATTACAAAATGACTGGGGTGGTTACTGCACTTGTCATCCCCATGTTACAGATGAGGCTGAGGTTAAGCCACTATCCCGAGGTCACACATCAGGAAAGAACCAGGGTCTAGACTTCAACTCCAGAACTCACCCACATTAAACTGCTGGGAAACGTCACTCTTCCAGGCAGTCCCAGGCAGAGTTGGGGCTCACATGTGGACCTCCAACTTGAGGACTAGACCCAAAGCAACAACCACTGCCAACTTTGCCACAACCTCTCCTGTCTCCCCAGGCCTCTCACCTCCAATCTGAGGGGCTCGGATCCTCACAGCATTGGCACTACCTCTCAATCGGTGCCGAATTCCCTGGGGAAAGTGAGATGAGAGTCAGAGCAGGGCTGAGGCCACTGGCAGAGAGGGTTTTCAGCTTTTCAGAAGGAAGGGGATTCAGGGGTATTTAGTGGTAGAGATGTGGAGAGGCAGCTAAGAACCAGGGGGCTGGGGAGCACCCCAACACATGTATTCTCTTTTTTAAAAAAATATTGTTGTTGATTTCAGAGAGGAAGGGAGAGATAGAAAAATAAATGATGAGAGAGAATCACTGATTGGCTGCCTCATGCACACCCCCACTGGAGATCAAGCCTGCAACCCAGGCATGTGCCCTGACTGGGAATCGAACCATGACCTCCTGGTTCATACATCAATGCTCAACCACTGAGCCACACTGGCCGGGCACAACACAAGTATTCTCAAAGCTGGATTGAGAAGTTCTCATCCATGTATCCATTCCATGATTTCTGAGCACCTATGTGCCAGGCACCATGCTGTATGCAGGAACAGAGCAGTGGATAAGGTAGACTGGTCCCTTCCCTCTCATAGCTCACATTCTAATGAGACAGACAGACCCTGAGCAAGGGTACAGATAAGCAAGTCAGTTTCAACAGCAATATGCATCCTAGAGGAAACAGGAGAGAGATGACAGCAGCTGAAGGTTAAGAAAAGACCTCTTTAAGGAAGGGGCATCTGTGCTGAGACTCTGAGGATGAGAGGGAGAAACTTGGGTAAAGATCCAAGAGAGTTAGTTACAGGTGCTGAGGGATGGGGAGAGAGACATAAATTGCAGAGACCTTGGCAAATGGATGGCAAAGTATGACATTTGATGAGATCTCCAGGAGGGGGTGTCAGAGAAAGGGACAGAACTGTTTATTTTAAATTAAAAATATTTTCTTAAATTTAAGGCTGTCTTCCCTCTGCCAGTTAAACACTTGTCATTTCCCTCTAGCCAGGTTTTTGACCCAGAATCTGCCTCTAGGTAAAATCTGCCTGGCTCAGCATACACAGAGAATTTGGTGATTTGGATGAAAAAGGGGCTCTGTAATAAAAATCACAAGGCGATCTGATCATAAATTCCTAGAGGTCATGGTGAGTAATCTTGTCTCAGGCCTGTAACTTCCCTAGTAAAAAGATTATCTTTGCCGTAAGCTCTGTCCATTGTTTCTGTGCATCTAAGTTAACACACCTCAGAAATGCCTTTTTCAAACCCTTCAGAATCATAACCTCCCTCAGAGATCACATAATCTTAACTCTCCTATGATCCAATCATAGAGATGTCCCTGCTTTACTTCCTCCCAAGTTCATGTAATCATCCCTATGTTCCCTCCTTAATTCCAATGTACAAAACTGCAAACTGTCATTATGGGAAGCATTTTTCTCCATCTGTTGAGACCCTGCTTCCAGGCATGCCCTCTATATGGCTCAAATAAGCTCTAATGAACCTTTATAAAATTTTTCTACAGGTTTGCACCTTCTTATGTCGACAGTGGTGGCCATTTTCACAACGCAGCCCTTTCACAGAGGTGCTACAGTTGGGTTGGGGTGAGGGAATGAAGCCATGTTTGCAGTTCCCCAAAACCCCGGATTCTGGAGTCAGGCCTGGCACACGGTAGGCAAGCAGGCACCAGAATGATGAAGTGCATGTAACTGACTCACGTCAGGGGCGTTGCGGAAGCCCTTGATGGCCTGGAAGACTCCACCACCGATGACACCCATAGTGAAGGCTCCACCGCAATCATCCACAATTCGCCATGGGCTGCAAGTGTCAAGGGGAGGATGGGGTTAATGTCAGCCTTCCCCCTATTGCCATGCCACAAGGACTCTTTCCAGCTGGGAGAAACCAAGTCATTTGAATGGGAAGTAGCATTTCAGATAATAAGATTATTTTCCCCTCCCATTTAAACAAAAAAATAGTGCTTTGCCCTCTCCGCCCCCCACCCCTCCTCTTGCAGCTAACTAAGGAATCCGCCAACCGCCTTACTATCAAAGATTAAATGAACTGACATGCGCAAAGAGTTGGCCCGTTTGAAGCAACCGTATAGAAGTGTTAACGGGCCAGTAGTGTCATTAACTGGCTAGTATTGTCGCACCCCCTTCTCGGAAAATGAGTGTGTCCAACCAAGCCCCACTCTCTTTCCCTCTCTTTTAACCTCACACAACTGGAAAAACCAAGAGCGGGCTGTGGGGAGGATCCAGCACCACCTCCTAGCTCACAATAGGCTCATCCAGGCCCTGCCCCCATCCGCCACAGCAACCTGGGAAAAAACACTCGTGGTAGCCTTGGGGATTTCCACTCAACACCGCGCCACCCTTCGCGGGAATGGACTCGGCCAGAGTGTCTCTTTTCCAAGAAAAGAGATACGGGGTCAGAGGAGTGGTTCGTCCTGAACCGCACCTTCTCCTGGAGCGTGGGGGCCCCTCTTAACGGAACCCGAGTGGGAGGGACCAAGTGAAGGGACGAAAAGAGACAGCGCAGCGGCTCCGGAGTCTGGGCCGTAGCGCTGTGGGGCCAGTGCCTCCCCCGCCCGCCTCCCAC